ATTTCATAAAACATATTTCTTAATGATAAATAAAATTATTAAAATTAATAAAAAGAGATAAATATTAATAATAAATTAAATGTTTAATTTAATAAAAAAAAAAAATATTATTATTAATGATAACTAAAAATAATTAATTTAATAAAAAATTATTATCATTAATAAAAAATAAAAATATTAAATTTAATAAAAAAAATACTATATTTAATAAGAATTAAAAATATTAAACTAAATAAAAAAACAATATTTTTAATTATAAATAAAACTAATAAATTTGATAAAAATTATTATATTTAATGATAAATAAAAACATTAAATTTAATAAAAAATATTTTTTAGTGATAAGTAAAATTATTAAAATTAATAATAATAGATTAATATTAATAATAAATTATATGTTTAGTTTATTAAAAAAATATTATTTTTAATAATAAACAAAAATATTTAATTTAATAAAAAAATATTATTATTAATAATAAATAAAAATATTAAATTTAATAAAAAATATTATTTTTAATGATAAATAAAATTATTAAATTAAAAAAAAAATATTATTTTTAATGAAAAATAAACATATTAAATTTATTAAGAAATTCTCTTTTTACTGATAAATAAAAATTTTAAATTTAACTAAAAGATATTATTTTTAATGATAAATGAATATATTAAATATAATAAAAAAAAGATATTATTTTTAATGATAAATAAAATTATTAAGTTTAACTAAAAAAATCTTATTTTTTATGATAAATAAAAATATTGAAATCAATAAAGAAATTTTGTTTTTAATTATAAATGATCGCCTGTTAGTAATCTTTATGAAAAAAGAAATACCTTTTTTAATACTTGGCTTGATGCAGTACATATTATTGAATCGGAAGGCTATAACATATGTCTCTCAAACTGTGACTTTTTCATATATGAGACTGTGGCCAAAACTCTACTAAAGCGACATGTGAAAGTATGAGATTTGGTATTCTATATTCGTAGCAACAAATGAACATTGTCACCGAATATTAACGAAATCGATGGACTATATTATATAGTCTCCATACAAACTATTTTTTCAGATATGAGGTTTTAAGTCAAAAAAATGCGCCAAAATGGTATCAATAAAATTATAGAAAATGGAAGGAATTGTAAAGCGCTCATACAGCGCATTTCTCCAGTTACTAGGTATTTGGTCGAAAACTTTCTCCTAGCGCTCTCTCCAAGAAATTTTTCAGTTATGAATACTAATATTTAATGCTAAAATGAAATGCCATAATTTTGAAATGTTCATGAAAGGTATGAAAGACTAGTTAATCTCTTGTTAAATATTTCTTTATTTTCTTTTTTTATTAAATTTTTTTTATTCATATTTATTTTTATTTTCTTTTAATATTTTTTTTTTTTTTTCAAAGTCATTACCCATCACCGAGGCACTTGTTTTTCCTACAGGCATACCGTCATAAATTAAATAAGTTCAGCAAAGTGATGCAACAAAGTAACCACGGAATTTACAGAAGTTTCATCCGCTGCAAGTAAACGTCAACGCAGCACATGAACTGTATTAATTTGCCGTAATTCTGTGCGGCTTTCGACTCTTTCGCTCAGGCATACCACCAATAGATTCGTAATTTAGTGCGAGCAAAACCTGCAAAGGCGTGTTGTTGCTGGGACTCTCTTGGTGGTTTACTGAAATTTTCACTGTCTAATAATTTGGAAAGATTGAGAGGCGGCTTTTCTTTTGCTATTAAACACTGTTTTTGTAACTTTCGTAAATGTTATAAATTGTTTCCTTTGTGATCTTTTTTTTTTTTCAATATTTCAAAGCTTTGTGCAGAAATAATTGATTTTGAAAAGTAAAAGTTTGGTCGACTTCCTTAGCAGTTTTGGTTTCATATTGTTTTTGATGAAAAAGGAAAATGATTATTTTTTTCTTAAAAAACGCTTATTGCATTTTAATTGGTGTTGGTTTTGAAAAACAAAAACGGAAGTAAGAAAAGAGGTTCAATAAATAACCTATTAGATTTGAATAAAAAATTATTTTTAACAAATTTTTGTTACTTTTGGTAAAATTTTGAGTATGTATTTTGTCTTATTAATTAAACTATTTTTTCCATTTTTTTTTTTTTTTTTTTTTTTTCTTTGAAAAATGAAAATGAAAATTTTTGAAAAAAATTCATATTTGGCTTTAACGCCAAATCAAATGAATTTTTCCACCACATGAAAATCTGCAAAACTTTTAATTGCGTGGCTCTTTCAGCTATTTCAAAAACCGTACAAATCTTATTGGTTTCACGAAGTCTTTTGATTTGACTATGTATAAGGAACGCTCGATGAATTGTGTTGAGTTTTTTTATAGACAACCAAATTCACCACGATCGATAAGCATCTAGCCACGATTCACTAAATAGCGAAATTCGAACCTCATGCTGACAACGTGAAAAATATGTACCTCGGCAATGCTCCTGCAGGCGTTACTCTCCACACGAGCTCAAAAACTCTCAAACCCAGTAGACGAGGCAGGTTTAGTTTGCGCAAATGCGGGATATTTCAGAATTTAATACAAAACACCTCAAGTGAATGGACTCATATTATTGAACATGAAAATAAAAATCAAAAATACTTTTTGTTAGACGGAAGTACTAACGATGGGCGTATTCTCTGGGATATCGTTGCCTGTGCCCGGTCTTCAGTCGAATGTATTTTGCCTATTATTTGAGCAAACTGTTCGCTGACAAATTATTTGGATATGCAGGGGAGTACAATATGCCAACTCAGTGACTTTAGTACTTCCTCTCGCGTTCGGCTCCTCCGTCCAGCAAGCAACCCACCAATAGAAAATGACGCTTGAGTCAAGTAGGTCAATTAAAAATAAGATAGAAATTTCGATTAGAGCTTAAAATAATTTAATAAGATTTACAATTTTTCAGCAAAAAAGACAACATTTTTTTGCTTACACGTTCACAAAAGAGATTAAAACCGACTGGTATTCCTTGCAAGCAGAAAGGGCATAAGGAGCAGTGTCGCAGATGAAGTGCAGGGAGGAAGGTATGAATGAGACTTTAAACCAGCCGAAGGTTAAGTGTTGATCCGTCAGCTATTCAGGACAAAGCATTTTAAATATTACACAGAGTAGAGTTTACTGGTTACTTCGTCAGCATGGAATTTGAAAATTCATTTTAAGCTTTTACTTGATTTTCTAAGATTTTTCTTTTATTGTAACCCATAATTAATTATTATATGAAATTTTCGGCACTATGAAAATTAAGTAAACATGAAAATAAAATAAAATTCTGTTATATTTTTATAAAAATAAAGTCCTACACCTATTGGGGTATTGCTCTGTATACAATATTTCCACCCGTGGCGCGCTAGAACCACTAGGCCACTTTGTGGATTCAAACTTGAGCATGCCACATACTACTGACCATGAAGGAAGCAACTTTCCTTCAAGTCCTAGGAGTCCTAGGAATAAGTCTAAATTGTCCTTAAGAACAGTATTAGTATACAACTCCATGTAATAGTTTCACCGGTAATGCAGTACCATTGGCTAATTTTGGTTGATTTATTTTACGCAGTAATAAAATTGACAGTCCAACAAAAAACTTCATTGCTTTTGTATATCCAAGGTGAGTGTATGACTGAGGCTTGCTCATTTTTTTGGTGTTAAGATGGTACACTCGCATACCCATTCTGTCGGCTTATCGTGCTCATAATTTTTGTTTGGTTAAATTTTAGCCATAAATTCCTCCACAGCCGAAATAATTGCTACTAAAGCTGTATGAGCAATTATATTATTATTCAGTTCCGGGAAATCACCAATTCCTATCTCAGCAACTAGTAAATATTACGGTTGTGATAGCAGTAACATCTCTTCCTAATGAGACTCTCTTATTAAGTAAAAAGTTCGTTCGGCTTTTTTTATTGATTTTTCAAAATATGATATCTTTGTGTGCATTTGTTCGATTTGAGTCAAATATGCGCCGTTTAGTTCATAAACTTGTTACCAACGAGATGCCAATTTCATTATACCCTTCGCGTAGAAGGCTGCGTAACTATTGGCAAAAAAAACTTGGAGAGCCAATATTCACAGGCATCTTCTAACCATTAAGCGCATTCGTCATGGACAGGAAAAGATGGTAGTCACTTGGTGCCTGGTCCGGACTATAAGGTGGGTGCATTAAGACCTCCCATCCGAGCTCCTGGAGCTGCTGGCGCGTCACCAAAGATGTGTATGGCCTGGCGTTGTTCTGATGGAACACAGTTCGGTCTCTGTTGATCAAAGATGGACTCTTTTGGATGAGTGCTGCCTTCAAGCGGTCCAGGGCTGAATTGAACAGTAGAGAGCCGAATTAAGCGTTTGGCTATAGGGGAACAGCTCGTAATAGATGATTCCTAGCCAATCCCACAAAACACACAGCAAAACCTGGTGCATCTTTGACATCGAAATTACCGCAACGGAACCCTGTAAACCACTTTTGTGCTACACGTTCATTTACAGTAACGGTCACATAAACTGAATTAATGTTTTCAGCCGCTTTGGCTGATTTTTCGCCTTGATCGAAGAGAAAATGTAAAATCAAGCGAATTTTCTCTTTTCTGGTGTTCATCTTTGACGAGCGCTGACAACGTACTGAGTCAATGAATCGAAAAACTATCAAAGACAAATTTTTAGCGCAAATAAACATGTTTTCAGCGCCGTATAGTATGACATGATGCGACACGTAAGACTAGTACTATGGACAATAACGCCATCTCTTAGTTAAAAACCGAACGAACTTTTTACTTGACCTATACATATTTTTTTTTTTTTTTGTTTTCAAAATGTGAAATTTTTAAACACCCCAAACTACAATAACTTCTTTCGAACATTTCAATAAATTTAAATCCAAATCATTTTCGTACAGTGAATAGCGTCGTTTCGCATGGTTTTGCATAGATAAAAAAAATTCATTTGCAGAAATTTAAATTTTTCAATAAAAAAAAAAAAAACAAAAAAACAGCGCACTCACCTGCATACATCAGCAACGCCAACAGTATGTGCACCCAATGTGTCATTTTGTTGTTATTATATCTTGATGAATTTGCGGTTGAGCGATGATTATGCAGTCAGCGTGTCAGTGTTACAATAACAAATTGGCAAATTACTGACAATTCACGCGAGCGACTGTTGTTGTTTATATTTAATTAAGTTCTTTGTTTTATGCGATAAATATGAATTATTATTGTACGTTTTAATCGATATGTGCGTTATATTATTATTTTATTATTATTATTATTATTATTTCGTATGTGTTTTTTTTCTTTTTTCTGTATTTTTTGTTTACGAAAGTAAAAATTGTCTACTGTGTTATTTGTTTGCTTTTATTTTTTCGTTATTACGCTTTACTTATTAATTTTTTAATGTGTATAAAAACTTAATTATAATATATTTTTAAATAAATTTAAAAAACACACACGTATATGTATATTTGTGTTTAATGGAAAATTAATTTTGTTTAAAATTTTATTCAACAGCAAACGTTTGAAAGCGCTTTTATGTGGGTATCTATATTTGTATATGTATCTATTTTAAATTGCAAAAGCATAAAATTAATTTAACTTGACTTTTCACTGTGAGTTAAAGGCATTTTCCATGTCCATACCATTAAATACTGCATAAGTCAATTTATGTCAGAAAAAAAATTTTCGAAAAATAAGCCACAAATTTTTCAACACAAACACAATGACAAAAAAAAACAACAAATATAAAAATAAGGCGAGTAATCGCGTTAACACGTTGAGGGCAGGACTTGTGTGGTTTGAGTTGAGAAGGCGACAAAGCACACGCTGTGTTATTTTTTTTTTTTATTATTATTATTTGGTTTTTGAAATTATTTTTAACTTTTTTTTATATAATTTTTTTTATATAATTTTTTTTTATTAATTTTTTTTTGTGGCTTTGCTAAATTAACTTTTCGCTTACATGCATATCAAAGCTACCCTATGGTATGTGACTATAAAAATAAAAATAAAAGATATTTCAAAAAAAAAAATCTGAGAAGAAATCGCAACGAAATCACTGTCACTTCCGTTTCCGTCTTTCACTTACGCCACCGCCGTTTTCACTTTAAAACTGTACTCGGCCAACGGCTGCGGCTACGCTGTTATTGGCGCACGTTAGTCCGTTATTATTTTGTGTGTGTTTTTCTTGATCTTTTTTCTGTAAATTGCATAGCCCGTTTATTGTGCGGAAAAAAGCTTTCTTGCATTATTTATTAATATTTCAGCGCGATTGGGTGCACGGAAGCTGGCGTTATTCTTGTGCATTGGTTTATTTTACCGTTATTTCCGCTTTAAATTGTATGCTGTTGCTTTTTCTTGCCTTTACTGTCTGCTTTAGGCGGTGTAGTTTTTTTTTTTTTAATTTTATTTTTATTTTATTTTACAAATTACGCGTTTGCTCCGAGCTGTTTTACATCGCCTACCTGCCGCCTCTTACAGGTTTTGTTTACCATCGTCGCTCAGCTGGCATCACGCGCCGTTTTAATTGGTTTCACTTTACAATATTATGTTGGCACGTGATGTCGTCGTTTGCTATTATCCTTTAATGATTAACCGTTTTGTTGACGTCCATTGGCGTTGCGTTGAATGGCCGTAAGCTATGATGTCTCACATGTCAGTCAGTCAGTCAGTCAGTCAGTCAGTTAGTCGCCTGTTCATAGCTCAACTCGGCTTTGCAGCATCTTCGTTGTTGCATCAATCTTGACTTGAGTTTGTTCCGTATGCCAACTTTTACTTCTATGTGTCTCTTCAACGCATCGCTTTTACTGCCTTTTCATTAACTCGGCCCTGTTATTGCTTTAATAATATTTACCACTGTTAACGCTGTTGTTATTTTTGCTCGTTGATAGCAATTTTTGAGTGGCAATTATTTCCTCTTCCGCTCTGCGTGGGTATTTTTTTTTTACGCACTGTAAGTAGAAAAAGAAGCGAAAGGAAAAGTGAGTGAGAATGCATAAAGTCGTGTGTGTGTAAAAATGCAAATTTATTTAGCCTGTAAAATGAGCAATCAAATGGAATTGCGAAATCTTGTTTACCGCATAAAAATGTTAATGTTTTTGTTGCATATTAATATTTAAATTTAATTAAACTCAATACAATCTTACACGTTGCCCCACAAAAAAGTCTAACGCTGTTAATCCCGAGCCGACGAGAGAGAAGACGAGAGTTTGCGCTTCCTGGAAATTTCTCTCGCATTAAATAGCATATTTGCTCGTGTTGAGTGGCATGCGGCACCATCTTGTTGAAACCACATATTGTGGCTATTAAAAATTTATTGTCGAAAAGCATGCTCAAGACGACGCTACATGCCCCACAAGCAACGAGAAAGCATATATATTTTACCGCGAAAAGTTTCTTTGAATATCAAACTAACAACTCTTATTGGAAGACCCTATATTATACACCGCTTGTAAGGTTCAGCTTGGGTTAGGTTAGGTTGCGATGGCTGCCAATTTGGACCCATTGTGATGCCACAAATACTTAAACCATCAGGTTTCATCCTCCATCCATTTTGACTCTCTAATGAATCTCATCAAAACCATGACTTTGATGTCAGCTACCTTCTATACACCAAACAGCAATATAGTGCCAAAATTTCTAAACCTAGCCCCACTTAAAGCTGGACTATCGCCTAAGAGATGGGCGGGTGATCCTATACTCCTCTTCATCCTCCTTGCAGCTGCTGCAGCATTTCTGTAGGCAGCCCCTAACTTCTCCGCGTGTTGTTCTATGAGACCGTGGCCTGTCAGAACGCCAATAACTTTGAACATATCACCTCTTTTTAAGGAGTACATCTCGTGATCTCTTCTTATGCCATTTCGGCCAAGTGTGCCGGGTTTTGCGGCAGGTTGTGATGCCATTCCACCTTTTAGTGGTTTGTTCATTTATGAATCCCCGAGAAGCAGTTTGCGTGTAGCAAAAGGCATACCAATGCGTTCTTTGTCGGAAAGAATCAGCTTGATCGTACTTCGCCTTGCAAGTACATGCTCATTACAGTTTCCCTCGATATGCCTGTGATCAATGACCCATGTGAGAGACAATATGCTTTGCTTGTCCATCTCCTGTAGAGCTCGGCGGCAGTTCAGTACTAATTTGGAGCTAAGCGTAAGCGAGCCCAGTGCTTTTAATTGCTGCTTAACTAACGCTGAATGATGAAGATGAAAAAACTCAGTTTAGTATAAAAAAGCTTTCCAAAATACCTCGTCACATTTGCCAACGGGTATATATATGTCTCTCAAAACGTCATATCCAAGTCTACAGTTCTTCGGTTACATAAAAAGGAAAGCCGTAAAAAATACTACCCTAAAAACTGGCATCATTAATAACAATATACATGTATTTATGTACGAATTGCAAGTTTTCTACAAAAGTCACATATGCCAAGCCAAGCTACAAGTGCTGGTTGTTGGTATGCAAAGCAATAAAGAGATTGTGCGCAATGACAACTCTTTTTTTTTACAAAACAAAGCAGCTGCAATAATGAGAAAAAGTCAAATTCTGCGTTTCTCAGTAACTGCATTTCGTAGTGTTTGTTGGTGCATACATACATACATACATACTTATATGCACTTGAAATCTGTATACTTTAACTTTTCTCAGTTTTCACATTTTTTTATATTTTTTTGCATTTTTTCATATTTTTTTATATTTTTTTGCATTTTTTTCATATATTTTTAAATCTCTTTTAAATTTTTTTTTTAATTTTTTTTTTAATTTTTTTTTTTAATTTTTTTTAACCTTTTTTTAAAAATTTTTTTTTTAATATTTTTTTAAATTTTTTTTAAATTTTTTTATAATTTTTTTTTTTTAATTTTTTTTTTAATTTTTTTTTTTTAATTTTTTTTTTAATTTTTTTTTTTAATTTTTTTTACGGCATTTGTACGTCAAACGAACTACTTTAGTCATATTAAGCAAGCAAGCAAGCACACAACACAACCGCCCATAGATATGCTGCAGCCAAACATACTTCCAGGGAATTCGTTTAAAAGTGAGTGTGGCATATGCATGTGCTTAAGCTTGAACTGAAGGCGCAACCCTGAAGAAGTGGTTAAATGTTGCAAAAAAAATTACTGTGGCACAAAAAAAATCCCCCTCTTCCTCTCCCCCACTTTGTTTGCTAGGCAAATGTTAATGTCCTTTTTTTGTACATTTAAAAAAATCCAGCAACATTTCATTTGCAAACACTAAGCGACCTTATACACACACTTTACCGTTCGTTTCTGTTTTTGTCATCCTTATGCTCATACGATTTATCACATGGCGACAAGTGAAAAGCGGAGTCAAAACAACATGGCAACGTGTTGGGTTGTAGAAGCTGCTGAGGAGTAGCATGCATGGCACATACGGGCTGGATGGGCTTACTAATGGGTCTTCAGGCACTCGAGCGCACCATAGAGAGAACCAGTGGTAAGCTGGCATAATTTTGAGTTTGATAAAAAAAAAATATAAAAAAATTTTTAAGCGCATTTTTTACACTTTTTAATTATAATTTTTATTTCTATTATTATTATGCATTCCTTTGCAAAGTGTAGTTGAATTTTTTTCCACATTCCCTTTTAAGAATTCCACACACAAGTGCTTAGCATACCATACACCGCTGGGTTATCGCCTTTTATATTATTCTCCTTTGAATTTATCTTTGCCACTGTTGTGGCACCGAAATGCATGACACATCGCCACAGTTGAGTGGAATATTTTGTAGATTCATATGTTGCCGTTTTGTTTCCAAAATAGCCACTTCTTCACAGAGATTTACACAGGCATCTATGTATATATTTATTTTTTTTTTGTTGCTCTTTCTTGCTTCTTTTATTTTTGGGTCCTTTTTGAAACGCTTAGTGCGCTTCGGTTGGAGACAAAAATTCAGTTATGATTTATTAGTGTGCGCTGACTGATGTTGTCAGTTGAATTTTTAAGCAGATTACAATGAATGACTATTTCAAAAGCTAACAACAACAACTACACACAAAAAATACACATGAATATGCTTGGCGCAGTATTTTTGGTCTCATCAAGGTCGTAGCCATGGATTTCGGTTTTAGTAACGGTTTTCTTTAGGCGGTTGCTTATGTTTATGGCTAAATTTTCATTAAAAAATTTTCGAAATAAATTAATTTTATTTATTTAATTATTTTAAATTTAATGTGGCAATACGTAAAGCCCATTTTTTCTTACTAGACTCGCTCTCAATTTGAATACCTCTCAAATGCTCCCAATCCCGCAAATCCTTAAGAATGTTTTTTCGATTAAGACACAGAACAGTGGATTTTTTAGTGCAATAGACAATAATGACGAAAACTCCTTCTTTATGGAGATATCAAGTTTGACGAATCAACACTCAAAAATGTA